CGGTGTTCGGCCCAATGGAGACGGTTGTGGTTGTCCTGCTAGACAGGGGGGGCCTCCAGCACGGTGGTGAGTGCGCGTCTGGGCCATCGTGATAGAGAGGCGGAGGGAACCAGCCGAAAAGTCGTCCTTCGGGGTTGGTCCTGATGACGCGTCGTATTCGCTGGCAGACATTTAGGGCTCAGGAGCCAGGCGCGGAGCAGAGTAAGGCCAGCGAGATCGCTGCTGTGCGGAGTTGCCAGTCGCTCCCGACCCCCTCGAGGGCTCCGGTGTCTTCGTATGCCCAGATGTTTCAGGCAGGCCTGCGGCGTGGGCCACCATGTGTCTCCAGGCTCCCAGGAGTTCGCCCACGAGCCAGGTCGGAGTGAAGTCGGAGGGGCCAGGCTGGGTGGGGGAGTAGAGGTGCTCTGCGATTGGGGCGTACCGCATGCCCGCTCTGACAGGCTGCAGCAGCAGGGCGGTGTCCAGGAGGTCGAGGGCATGCCTATTGGGCGGTTGGCCGGATATGCGCCTGGGTGACTCTGTGGTACTTCATCTGCTCGCGGCTCCCCAGGGTTGTAGCTCCAGGGGTTGGCCAGCCTGTGGCAGGTGATGCAGATTCGTCCAGTGGGGTCTCGGAGCATCCAGGTGCCGCAGAAATCACATCTCTCACTCGGACAGAAAAAGTTCCGCAGCCGTAGCCTATGCGCTGTGGTAGACCAGGGCCACGCGTTGTCGCTACTGTCGCTCCCTTGAATGGGTACTCCAGGGATGCCCGTTGAACTGGCGGCTATCCCTGAGAGGGCGGGCTCTACCCAAGGTACTGGGCCTCTACCTGCTTGTCCTCTCGAGTGCACGTCGTTCCCCGCCCGCTCGAGGTTCCCTCTTGTGATCGCCCACTGCCTGACATCCCCATGATCGGGAAAGTGAACTATATTTTGTCTGCGCTCATGGATTAGGACTCTGTGTGCAAACTCTATGATCTCGTGATCCGTGGGGTCCTAAGCCCCATATGTTCGGTTGGGGCCACTGCTGTGCAGGGGAACGGCATCTTCGGGAGATCTGGTGGGCATGAGCATCCTATCTGTGTCAAATCCGCTCGGAATCTCCATGCCTATGTCGCAATAGTGCGCAGCCGCCACCATGGCAACGTACTCCAGACGCGCCAGCTGTCTCTCCGTCACCGAGGGGTCGGCGGCGTCCAGCCTTTCCCTTCTTATGCTGGGGTCATGGGTGATGCTCGCAAAGCGGAAGGCAAGGACCTGTGTTGGGTCAGGCTGCACTCCTCCGAGACGCCCTCTGTAATCTCCTCCCGCGACAGACCAAACAAGCCAGGAGTGGTCCAGGGTGGCGAGGACCGGGGCCGAAGTGGCAAGCTCCGAGCCGCGTCCAGGGAGGGCGGCTTCTGCTGGAGCCACCCGCGTGGGGCTGTCGGCCCGTATGCCTGGGTGGCCTGGGCGGTGCCCCCTCCACGCGTGGCGCATGAGAAGCTCAAGGTTGCTGGTCTCGCGCGGGGTTCGCGGCCTTCCACGGCCGGGGATCTCGCGCGCGCCAAGGACCGTCGACGCGCGCCAGGTGCCGGCGGAGGGCACTCATGGTGCCCCCCCTGCCTGTGATACTGGCATCCGCCACGCGCGGGCCACGCATGGGTCCGTCCGCCTCCCGACTGGCCGCCCAATCAACATTCGCGTGCCCCGTGGCGTCCAACCGCCGGGCGTGGAGGTCCGCAGCGCCTTGCCCTCTGTTTCTCCGCGCTTGACTGGGGTCCTCAGCGTCTGAGGGGGTGGGCTGGTTCTCCATCCGCAATTCCTCCTCCAGGGCAAGGTCTGGGGATGGGTAGGAGGGCGGGTCAGCTAAGACAGGGCCCCCATGCGCAGCGTGACTTACCACGAAAGGCGGGCCGTTGTCCGCCCAAAGGAGGGGCACCCGTTCCCGTTCTTGTGACATGTACTCCAGGCCGCGGCGGCATCCGCCAGGAGGGCCATCAGGATACTCGAGCCCAGGAGGCGGGTCGGGAGGGGAGAAGTCAGGAGAGGAGCTGGTGGGCGAGGGAGGGAAAGCGCGGGGCGATCCGACAGTAGCGATCGGGGGCCTGGCGTGATCGATCCGATCAGCCAGGGGAACGGCACCGATCGCGGGATCGGAGGCGATTCTGGTAGCGTTTGGCGAGCGAGGCAGTCCCGTGGACCACCCAGCCGTCGCTCTCAGGGGAGGTCGATTGCGATCGATCATTTCAGTGGAAGAGTGCGCCTCCCTGCGACCACTGCTTTCAGGATCACCCGTCTCTCGCTCTCTTCCTTCTGGTGGATGAGGGCCAGTCTCTACCGTGGGGTTTGCTGCGCGGGGGCTGGGCGCGACTCTGGCGTCGGCAACCGTGCCTCCAAGGAGAGGAGCGTCGGGGGTCCCGGGAGGAGTGAGGTCCCCTCCACTCGTGGCCGCGGCCACAGCGCTTCTGTCGACGTCCATGCGGTCACAGGTTGCTGCGGGGCCTGCGGGCCCATCTTCTATGTCCGCTCCGCTACATCCCGATACGCCTTGGCCTCTCGAGTCGATGGCTCGTTCGGAGCGAGCATCTCGAGCTACGGGCGCGCCGTTATGGCATCCAGGGAAGCGACTGAAGGTCGCAATGTCAGTGTGCATCCTCCCGACGCCCTCCCAAACACCCCCTGCGGGGGCCCGATCCCTGGTCCTCTCCTCCATTTCACAACGGCCCCTGGGTCGGGCGCCGTGGGCATCCCTCTGCCTGCCGTCGTCCGATCCAGGGAAGCGACTGAAGATCGCAATATCAGTGTGTAACGCAGGGATGACCGCATCACCCCCTCCTCCAGCGTCGTGCCTGCCGCTCCCCAGTCCAGGGAAGCGAACGACCGCTGCCTCGGCGTCGGAAGGCGCTCTAAGGGCTGAAGGCCCGTCTTCCCTGCTCGATTCGCAGCTGGGGGCTGCTTCACTCGGCGCAAGCGCGTCCAGGGGGGGGGGTCGGCGGTGTTAGGGCGCAAGCCTCTGTGGAGCAAGTCGGGGCCAAGGGCAGACGCCTGCCCGTCTCCCCTCCCAAAGCCCTCGAGTGCGCCCCCTGGGGGGGGGGGGGAGTTCCCTAGTTTCCCCCTCCACGTCGCAGAGGCCCCTGGGTCGATCGGGGCCATCCCTCTGCTCGTCGTCACTGCCTATGAGGACCTAGGTCAGTGGGGGGATTCGCTTGTTCAGGAATGGGGCCCTCGCCCTCCGTGCACCTGGAATCGCCGAGGGCGATCCCACTCTGCACAGCGACGCCTGGAGAGAAAGCGATTGGGCGCCCACCTATGGGCATGGGAAGGGTTGGGGTGAGAGGGAAGGATAAGCTAGGCGGGAGGGCATCAGACCTGCCGCTATCACATCCAGGGAGGCGACTGAAGGTCGCAATGCCAGTGTGCATCCTCCCGTAGCCCTCGCGGACACCTCCTGTGGGAGCCAGATCTCTGGTCCCCTCTTCCACGTCGCAACGGCCCCTGGGTCGCACGCCGTGGGCATCCCTCTGCCTGCCGTCATCCGATCCAGGGAAGCGACTGAAGGTCGCAATTTCTGTGCGCATCGCAGGGGTGGACGCATCACCCCCTCCTCCAGTCTCGCGCCTGCCGCTCTCAGGTCCATGGAAGCGGCTGAGCACCGCATCGGCGTCGGAAGGCGCTCCGAGGGCAGTAGGCCCATCCTCTATGTTCAACACGCAGCTGAAGGCGGCTTCGCTCGGCGCGGGCGCGTCCAGGAAAGGAGGCTCGGCGGAGTGAAGGCACAAGCCTCTTTGAAGCGAGTCGGGGCCTAGGGCAGGCGTCTGCCCGTCTCCCCTCCCGATGCCATCGCGAGCTCCCCCTGGGGGGGTGAGGTCTCTAGTCTCCCCTTCCACGTCGCAGAGGCCCCTGGGTCGGACACCGAGGGCGTCCCTCTGCCCCTCGTCAGACTGCCTACGAGGACCTGGAGCCGTGGGGGGACTCACTGTTTCAGGAGCGAGGCCCTCGCCCCCCGTAAACCTGGCACCGCCGAGGGCGATCACACTCTGCCCAGCACCGCCTGGGGAGAAGGAGATTGGGCGCCCAGCAATGGGCATGGGAAGGGTTGGGGTGAGAGAGGGGGATAAGCTAGGCGGGAGGGCGTCATGCCTGACGTTATCACATCCAGGGAAGCGACTGAAGGTCGCAGAGTCAGTGGGTATCAAAAGGCTGACAGCACTAACCCCTCCTGCCGTGTCCTGCCTGCCGCTCTCACATCCAGGGAAGCGACTGAAGGTCGCAATATCGGTATGCATAGCGGGGTTGAAAGCATCAGCCCCTCCTCCCGTTGGGCTGAAGGCCAGCGGCTCTCGCGTGCATGAAGCGTCGGCGGAAGCGTTTCCACTCCAGGGAGCAGGGGGCGACGGCTGCCCTGGCGGGGTGGTGTCCTGTGATCCAGGGCGAGGATGCCTTGTATCAGCCGCTCCGCGGGCCCCAAGGTCGGCGGCTGGTGACGCGGTCGTCGTTGCCTCAGGGATGGCAGGATCATCGCCGATCGATCGCCCATCCATGCTAAGCAGGCGGGCCGTGGCACGTAGCCGAAGACGAGGAATCCAGGGAGTCTGCAATGGCGGCCCGGCCCAGGGGGAGACGCGCGGCCCAAAGACTCCTAGGGGAAACCCCTTGAGCTGGGAGACCCGGCCGAGGGGCCAGGGCCCAGAGACGGCTTGAGCCGAAGGCTACGGACTGGTGGGGATACGCGAAGCGTGAAGACTTGATACGGAGAGGGGAGAGGAGGATCGAGAAGCTATGCTTTAGATGTTGGAAGCCCTCTCCGGGCCTACTGGTAGCTTCTCGTCATCTCGGTGTGATCCGCCCCGAGATTATGGTCCGAATGCGCTCCAGGACGGTTCTGTAAGTGGATTATGAAGGGAAGAGGAGGGAAATGAACCAGTTGCCAATACGCAGTGGAGGACCTGCAGGAGAAGGGGGCAAAAGGTCAAGAAAAGGGAAGATTGGCAACAACATAATGAGAGGAGCGAAAAATGCCAGCATGAGAAGAACCACCTGGACCAACTGCTGCACCGGAGCTGCTGACGACACGGCACCACCGTAACCTCGGCATCCCAATGCCGCATGGTGGACACATGCTGGGAGAGACGCCACAAGACAGATACGCAATTCGTGTGTATTCCAACCACGTCAGCAGTCACGGGCAACCAGCTAGCACAAAAGGCCATTAGTTCACGACGTGTGTGCGGCGAGTGAACAAAGACCTACGCAAGAGTTTTCCATCAAGAAAATGCAATGAGAAACAACAGAGAAGATAGACACGGGATGCGGGAAGACACGGAAGGATGATGTTGGACACGGAGGGAGGACGAGGAGGAAGAGGAGGAGGAGGAGGAGAAGAATGAGGGGTGGGCGGAGGAGGAGGAGGAAGAGGAGGAGGAAGAGGAGGAGGAAGAGGAGGAGGAGGAGGGTGAGTTGAAAGGACTAGGGGCAGATCAGTCAGAAGGAGGAATCAGGGCAACGAGGAGAGCAGCAGCAAGGAGGGGAAGGAGGGAGGACCAGAGCCAATCCACGATGCACCAGAGATGCAGCGAGACACCCTCCGATCCCAAATTATGTCCCTGCAAGCCGGCCCCTCCCACTACAGTACGCGTTTTCTTGAAAGACCAAGCACCCGCTGGGCCTGCCACACAGGCGAGGGCCCCGTTTTGAAAAGAGCTGCCCTGCATCCCTCTGGCGAGCAGTGCGGAATGACAGAAAGTAGGACCAAACAGATCAGCGAGGTGTTCGAAACGATTCCCGTTTGGAGTATCCCTGTGCGCCACCTCGAAGAAGTGTCTCAAACACAAGCAACCACCCCAATGTGACAAAGATCCGCCCTCCACTCGAGCAGCTGTCAAGTATGTGCTACAATTTGGGAACATTATGTTGAAGGTAATCTTGAACGATGACCATCTGTCGAGCCCGAACAATCCGCCATCCCGCTTGCTGCTGTCGAATTGTGAAAAGAATGTGCACGGCGCCAAGAGAAACAATGCATGTTGGAACAACACGCCCTCCGTCCGGTAGCTGTTGCAAACTTTTGAGACGAATGTGCGCGGCTCTACTGCGAGAGCTGCATTTTGAAAACGACGACCCCTCCAGCCTCCTAATTCCTGCAATCGTCTAAAACGAATGCGCGCTGTGCTAAGGCGAGCGCTCCGTTTTGAAACACATCCCACTCACTCCCTGCCCCATATGCAAGCGTGTGCCACGAGCATGCGCGGCGCTAGAGCGAGTACCATGGTGAAAACCACCACCATCCATAATTGCAATTGCTGCAAATTTCAAGCCTCAAGAACATTCGTCGTGAGGGAGTATCGAGCGAAACGCCCCGCCCGCCATACCGATATGGTTAAGGGTGCGCCAGAGGGGATCATCTTCGAGAAAAAGGGATGCACGAGACGAGAGACGAGCGTGTCAAGGGAAGGGCTGAAGTATTAGGTAAGGTTGCCCGTCGGTCGGAAGACGTGGGCAGAAACATGAAGCAGGACGGCGCTGGAAGTAGATTTGGGCTTCCGCCCACCCCATGAGGAGTTGAAAGAGGGACAATCACTCGACTCTTGAAGTAGGAACGCGCCTGACATAGATTGGAATCTGGGAATCCAGAACAACCTGCGTCCAACGACCGACGGGTAAACGCAATGGGAGCCCAGCCGCAGCAGTGCCTGGGAACGCACCCCTGATGGAACATGGATGCGGGCGCTGCCCTCGCGAGGGCCTGCCTGGGGCGGCACCACGGGGCCTTTCAGAAAAGAGTCGCGGGGAGGGGGCCCTGCTGCAGGGGGCTCTCTTCGAGGGCTGACCCCGGATCGGAAGGCGCGAAGAAGGGGAGGGCGAAGGACGAGAGAGAGAGTGGAGGGTTACAGGGCAGGTTTTAATACATAGGATGTTTTTTGAACGTCGGATTCTTAATACATGATTAATTCACTCATTAGTCAATGCATGCACTCATCGTGGTTTTTAATACTAGATCCCTGCATTTTTAATACATGCTCCGCACGCGGAACATGTATTAAAAAAAAAACGGCACTGTAAGTGCTGGGGGCGAGTCGGGCGGGGACGGGCAACTTCTGCACACTGCCCCCACTTACCGCCAGCAGGCTCCGCAGCCAGCATGGCCATGTTCGCGGCGGCGGGGTCGGGCTGCGCAGCCGTCACGTACTGGACCTGCGAGGGTCGGGGGGGGAGAGGAGAGGCAAGCTGGGTGCGGCCGGGCCACATCTGGCAGCCTACCCCGCGGACGCACCCCTTCCCATTGCGCTGCTCGTTCTCTGTCCACCAGTGCGTGTCATAGCGAACCTGGAACGCCAATGATGATCCCATCGTGTTATGCGCAATTGGAAGATGGAGCTGCGTACATTGGAGGAGGAGGTGGCGGATGAGCAGGAGGATGAGCAGGAGGGAAAGGACGAGGATGAGGAACAGGGGCGATGACGAAGATCAGCAGCATGAGCTGGAGTGGAGCGAACGAGAGGAGAGCATGAGGACCAGGGGCAGGCGGAGGAGGGGAACTCAGGGGGCGGCAATGATGATTAAACACTCGCGTCCAGAGAAGTTTCCCACGCTGGGGCGAGATCGCCATTCTGAACGAAGGGAACAAAGTGTCACTCCGAAAATGAAGCCCCCGCGGCAGCGGAAACATCATTGTGACACACCGAGAGCATGTCTATTGCAAGCAATCACAAGAATAGTAAGCGTTCGATGTCCGATGTAAAAAGGAATATACGGCGAAGACCGAACATCTTCCAGTCAGAGTAGCATTCATACTGTGCCTGTATAGAGCGGAAGCATTGAAGGGAGCAAGAAGGGAGGGAAGGAGGAGAGATGGGGAATGCGTGTGATGGGGGATGGAGCAGGCAAAAGGGAGATGAGGAACCACAGTATACATAAGGATGAACACCATGCTCACGAGGCCAACCGAACTTTATGAAAGCATCGGCCACTGAAGATCGATTACTCCAGACGCCAATCCAAGTATCGAACGTATTAGGAACACGCCATCGCCACAACCCGCACAACCTACACACAACGGTCCATGGGGAAACGGGAGGAAGTCGGTGGAGGATGAGAAAAATGGAGGAGGGAGCGGGAAGAGGTGAGGGCAGCGTTCAGCGCCTTCTCATCCCGTCCCTGGGCTGAGTGAGGATGGAAAGTGGAACGGGCAGGATGGGCAGAAAGAGTGCAAAAGGAAGAGGGAGGAGGGAAGGAGGAGGGAGGGAGGGAGGGATGAGAGAGAGAGAAAGAACCGTCTGAGGACAACAACCAATGGTACGAAAAGGGGGGATAGGAATGATGATTCAGATATGCGACGGCGCTGCAAGAACGCTGCGGACGAACAAGCGCCGTGAGATGGCGCCGCTCCAGGACCGCACTGAGCCTCGCCAAGGGAGCCTAACTTCGTGCTTCGCGCTGCGCGAAGCGCGAATAACTTCGCGATCTAGCGCCGCCTCCTAGGGGAGAAGGGGAGGAGAGGAACTGGAGGCGAACCGCGAAGCGCGAACAATTTCGCGCCCTCGAGGGCGCCCTTGCCTCGCCCGCTCACTTCTCCGTCGGCGCAGCACGGCGACGCACACGCCGAGTGGAGGAAAATCGGCGGAGAAGACGCCGCCGGCGGGCGGGGGAGCGGAGCCTGGCCATTCCAACAGAAAGTGAGGGGCGGATGTGCGGGAACGACGACGACGACGACTACCACGACGGCCTTCGGCTCGAAGGGGGGCAGCGCGACGAGTGCACAGAGCGTGGAGCGCGATGAGCTCTGGCCCATCCGAGGCCTCTGAGCTCGGAGCTGGAAGGCGCCGGCGCGCTCCCACGGGACGCTGCTTCCGGCGCCCGGAAGATGGTGGAGGCACGGTGAGGGCATCGGATAAGACCTTGCAGGGAAGCGCCGCGCGAATCGCTCAGAGAGAGGTCGATGCAGAGAGAGAGAGAGAGAGAGAGAGAGGGGCAAGAGGCCCTCCCCCCGAAGGCGGCACACGGATGCCACCCCGAACTGTGAGATCTCTGACAGCACCCCGTTGCAGAAAGAGGTAATGGCGGAAGCCAGTGGAACTCCCATCGTGGACTGACCATGGATTTCACCGCCGCCCTCATCGAATCAGGAATCCTGCAAGATCTGAAACCTCCTGGGCACATTCCTCAACCAATGCCCCCATCATGGGGCGGCGTTCTCGACAACGCCAATGTCCAGCCCGCGGAGCACCTGGAGCGCCCAGTCTAGCAACCGGTGGGCCCTGCCGCGGGGCCGGGGCACGAGGGATGCACAAGGCGCCCTGCCTAGACCCGGCTGGTCGCCGCAAAACGCAAAGGCTCGAATCATGCAGCCCCGCAGGGCACGAGCAAAAGCCAAAACGAGACCGGGTGCGTTCACAGTCGGCCTGCTGTATTCCACATTCCAGCGCGACCAGGCCCGACAACGAACACAGGGCCTCATGGCCGCACGCACAAGAAGGTAGGGGGAGGGGGGAAGGCTTCTTAGAAGGAGGCTGCTTCTTTGAAGGCGCGGGCCTTATATCCACAGACAAGGCCCGTGCCTTCTAAGACGCAGGGTGCTTCTAAGAAGCCTCCAACCCTGCCCATGCCCCCCTTTGTGCGTGGCCGAGCTTCCCTGGACGTGCACATCGATTTCTGACCGGCGGGCGACAGAAGAGAGGTCTGGCCGCGGCGCGACGACGCTGGGCAGCCGCGACTTTTGCCGACATGCCACGGACACGAGGGAGCGAGAGCGGAACACGCCCAGACCTCGAGCCCCTCTCCCTCGGGAGGAGGAAGGGAGCAGAGCAGGAGAGGGGGGGATGGGGGGGGAGCGGAAGAAGAGGACGGAGACGGAAGGAAGAGGGGGAGATGGGGGGATGATGAGGTGCCGGTGATGCTCGCAGCGTCAAGGGAGGCTCAACCCAAAACAAGCCAGCGCTCATCGTGCAGTCGCGCTTGTGGAGGCAAGCGCGTTTGGTGGGCTTGTTTTCCACCGCCACCACCAGAAATATGAGTGGGAGGGGGTCCTCCTCCTCCTCCTCTTCTTCCTCCTCCTCCTCCTCCTCCTCCTCTTCTTCTTCCTCCTCCCCCTCCTCCTCCTCCTCCTCCTCCTCCTCTTTCCCCCAATTTTATGGTGTTGGTGGTGGTGGGAAACAGGCCTAGCAGCGTTGGCCCACGCCCCGCGACTGCGAGGGGGCGGATGCCCTTGCGGCGGATCCCGCGCACGCCTTGCCGTTTGGGAAGGACGGAGCGGCGTGCACGGGACGCCGAGGAAGACTCGCAACTGGTGTTTGTTGGTGCCGCTACGGCTCTGGCGAAACGTAGTATGAGTACATTGGGACCTAGACCAGAAGAACATCCCTCAAGAACACGAGACACTCTGTCGGCCAAAACAAGCAGAACATCCAAGGGTACCCTCCCCAGGATGCATGAGAGCATCCCCCAGGCACGAAGAACACTGGGGTATCCTCCCCGAGCCGACCTCGATCTTACCCTCGGTCCGACTGTACAACCGCTCGTTCAAAGAGGAACGCTGGGAGTGGAGGGAAGGGGGGGGGTGGATGGGGGAGAAATGGAAGGAAAACTGCCACGATGCGCTACCTCAGAGAACCGTGATGTCCTTGTCGGCATCGTCGGGTAAGATCTTGCGGAGCTCATCGTGCAATGTTTGGCGTCTGCGCTCGACCCCCGCCCGCGGTGCCTGGCCGCGTTTCGGCACCCTTCCAGCAGCACACGTGGTGTTGGCAATGACGTTGACGGGCCATCAGGCCGTGGCGAGGGAGAGATGTTTGCTTGTGTCCTAGATTGCTTTGCCAACTTTGCACACGTGCAAGACATGGACGGGGGAACCTGCATCCGTCTCTGTAGCCCGCAGGCTTGTAGTTGCGGTCCGCTCGCCCAGTGTCTGTCTATCATGTACTGTTCCCATGGCGGTAATATGGGCCCAGACATGCACGCGGTGCTCGATCTCAGCTGTTGCACATTTGCCCTCGGCAACAACCTTGCACGAATCAACGTACTGCTGGCTCGTGCGCCAAGTCTCTCAATGTACGGGATGTCTGTCTGACCAAAACCCATTGCAAAAGTATCCGCCTGGAGCCCACGGATCTCCAAGCTACTACTCAGAATGAGGACGGCAATCAATGTGATAATACGCGCATACAACTCCTCGGTGCCCACAACGGTCTTCTCAGTGACCAGGGACCCTGCCAGAGTGCCACGCTTCATCGACCACGCCTCATTGGCTGGAAGATGTGAAGAGATATGGCTAACGCCTTAGTAGGACCGCAATCAATGCGTACCCATACGGCCCTGATACACGCTGCGCAACATCCAGAAACTTAGACAGCTCCTCGCATGCATGCCTTCACTGACTGCGCGCCAGGTCGACTGGGAGGAAGACGCATAAGGGGGCAGGAAGAGCCAGGAGGAGGGAGGACATCGAGGAGAGCGAGGAGCGCACGTACCCAGGGGAGGGACGGTGCAGACTAGCGGCGTAGCGTCGCAAAGCGGCACTCAGATGATACCGTCGAAGATACCGCCGAAGATGAATATGAAGGCGACCCCGTCGAGGCCGCATGTGATGCCACCGAGGGCGACATTGGTGTAGAAGACTTTGAGGACGCCGCAGGATGCGGCGAGGAAGAACCACCAGAGGAGGGCCGGAGCTCCAGCGAGCCAACCAACTGGTCGTCCAGGATGTTGTTGAACTGGTTGATGCACTCCTCGTCCTGGAAGCTTGCTAGTAGGGTGTCGTAGTACAGGGCCGCCGTCGATGGAGAGGAGGCGCACGACGTGGTAGGAGCCGTGCACGCCGATGAAGAGGCCTCCTCCCTTGTTTGCATGCAGTTCTTGGTTTGGTGTATGATCTGTGCGAGGTCCTCCCGCCACTCTGCATCTCGGATGTCCAGGTCCGCGAAGGTGACGAAAGCGGACTCCTTGATCAAACCCGTCTCGTCGACGAGTTTGGTGAACTTGTTCATGTTGTGCTTCTGTTCTTCGAACATCTGCAAGAGGGCGTCATGCTTGTCACCCTGGTCCAGCTCACGCCTAGGCAGTCTGTTACGGACAACACCATCGCCTTGTGGGCGCTGTACCTGAGCGGCCTCCATAGCCTCCACGCGCTGTGTCAGCACGGCCAGCTCCTTGATGTACTCCGTGCTATTCTTCTGCAAGCTCGTGACGACCATATCGGTGATCTGTATGGCGATGTCTTCCACGGTCTTCGTGAGCGTGCCGAGCAAGTCCGTGGTGAGCTGATCTAGTGATTCGCATTCACGTAGTGTTTCATGTGCTTCTCAATGGCCTCGTCAAAGTTGGCGCCCTGGTACTTCCCCTGCTCCTTGACGTAGGCGAGCTGCGGCTGTTGTGCCGATGTGTCGTCCAGCTCCGAGTCAGTGCTGCAGTTCTGCGGATTGTCCTTGTCATGCTTCACTGGCTGGCCCGAGGCGTGCTGCAGCTGCATGCCCCGTTGTCGCCGATCGGGTGGGTACGGGATGAAGCCCATCTCGTACGCACGTCGCCGACGCTTATGCACTTTGCTCGCAGAGCGGGCGCCTCTCCGACGAGGAGCAGTCGGAGCCGTAGAAGAGGCCGACGGCGAAGCAGAAAACGCCGCAGAAGCAGCGAGGAGCGAGCCGCCAGCACCGTGCATTGTGTAGTTCAGCACCGCGAATGCGATGAACGTGGCCACGGCGCCCAGAAGCCTCATGGCGCCATGGAGCTCCGCGCGCGCAGAGATGACCGCCCCCTCGCGACAAGGAGGAACGCTCGCGGGCGCGCGGTGCGGCTGCGATCTGCCCAACTCAAGAAACTTGAGCCAAAATGGCAACGGGTAGAGGAGAGCGAGGAGGAGGAGGAGGAGGAGGAGGAGGAGGAACGGCAGAGGAGTTGGAGGAAGAGGATGGGAGGGGCGGCCCCCCTTTCCCCGCCGCCGACCGACCGCGGCAGACCTGTGGCCTGGCCGTGATCACCTGCGGCCTCGCCACGATGACCTGCGGTCGCGCGACGATCACCTGCGGCGCCTGCGGCGGCGCCGAGCCCCAGTCCTGCTTGGCCTCGGGCCGGGGCGCGCGGCACGGGGGAGGGGGCCCCTTCCCCCTCTTCCCACCTGCCTCCTCCCTCCCTCCCTCTCCTCCTTCTGCTCCTGCTCATCCTCCTCCTCCTCCTCCTCCTCCTTCTCCTCTTAATTCTCCCTTCCTCCCCCCTCCCCCCTCCTCCTCCTCCTCCTCCCTCCTCCTCCTCCTCACCCTCCGCCTCCTCCTCACCCTCCTCCTCCTCCTCCTCCTCCTCCCTCCTCCTCCTCACCCTCCGCCTCCTCCTCACCCTCCTCCTCCTCCTCCTCCTCCTCCTCCTCCTCTCCTCCTCCTCCTCCCCCTCCTCGCTCCTCACCCCCATTTCCTCCCTAATCCCTCCCGCCCTGACTCGCTCTTCCTCCTCCTCCTCATCCTCCTCATCCTCTTCCCTCCTCCCTCCTCCCTTTTCGCCGACGCCCTCGCCCGCGGGGAAGAGCGGCGGAGAAGGAGATGCCCAGACCTGGATGGAGAACGAGCGCCACAGCCCAGCATGACATTTCATCCTGCTCCGCGTGGGCATAGTCGTCAATGCAGAGCTACGCGATCTCACACAAGCCTACACAATTCAACCCTGTGCGGATCACATCCCGACCAAGAGGAGTCTGGGGAACTCTGCAGCAACTGCTCGGATGGTTTGTGGTTGCTTTTCAAAATGGGGGTCTCATCTCAGCACCGCGCATGTTCGCCTTCAAAATTTGCACCCCCTGCAGGGATGGGAGGCAGCTCATTTTGAAACTGGAGCTCTCGCCTCTCGCCTTTTCGCTGGGCACATTCTTCGCAACACCATACGATTGCTTCAAGGACGAAGGCGCTGGATTTTCAAAATTGGACTCTTGGCCTAGCGCCGCTCACCTTTTTTGGCTGATTGCAAGGGTGGGAGAGTCTCGCCCCAGCGCCGCGCATTCTCGTCCGAAGCAACGGCAACATGTATGAGTGGCCGGGGTGGCTATGAGAATGAAGCTCTCACCCCAACGCCACGCTCATTCATCCGGAGCTCGCAGTCGTGACAACGCTGGAGGGGCGCTCCTTTAATGGGGGTTTTGGCCTGAGCGCCACACACATTCGTCTGAAAGGATGGACGGCGGCTCCTTTTCCAGAGTGTGGCTGTCACTTGAAATGTTCCTGCAGTCAGCGACCAGAGGGTTGATGTGAAACTACAATGAAAACGTATAGTAAGAACGCGTGGTAAGGACGCAAGACCCTTGGAGGCCGAAATTGACGTATTCTGGCCCGCGAAAATTGCCAGGGCCGGGCCGCAGAGGCCGAGGCAGGCAAGGACCCAGGGGTACCCTTGAAAAAGCCGTTCGTCCTTACTATGCTCGTTGACTGTACTGCACGGATGGGTGGCAGCTTCGTTTCGCTCTAGACATCAGCGAAGCCCCTGCTTTCGCTGCATTGAGGGGGGGACGCGGAGGAGGAGGACGAGGACGAGGAGGAGGAGGAGGAGGAGGAGGAGGAGGGAGGAGAGGAGGAGGAGGAGGAGGAGGAGAGGAGGAGGAGGAGGAGGAGGAGGAGGAGGAGGAGGAGGAGCACCTGCTCTCGCTGCACTGCTGGGGGGGGGCGCTCTTGCTTCGCAGGAACGGGGCCCTCGCTGGACACGACCAGGCGTTCTGATCCTAGCTGTCAAGATTTCTCCTGCTCCTCCTCCTCCACAATCTCCTCCTCCTCCTCCTCCTCCTCCTCCTCTCCTCCCCCTCCTCCTCCTCCTCCTCCTCCTCCTCCTCCTCGTATGTCTGACGGCTCGTTCGGCAGATGCAGTGCCGCTTCCTTTCGCAGTGGAGCCCCCACCTGAATGGCAGGCACTTTTTTGGGTCTGCGGCTCGGGAGCGGGCCCCTTCTGGTCAAGGGCTAAACGGGCCGCGAGTAGCCCGAATTGGGGAGACAGGGCGCGGGCCTGAATGGCAGGCACCCGGGGAGTGCGTAGTTCCATCGAGCGATCCCTGCGGGGAGAATGAAGGCCTGTAAGGACTTCTGGAAAAGGGGAGTTCGAACACATCGCTGCTGGCATACACTGGTTCGCATCCTCCTCCTTCTCCTCCTCCTCCTCCTTCCCCTTCTCCTCCTCCTTCTCCTCCTCCTCCTCCTCCTCCTTCTCCTCCTCCTCCTCCTCCTTCTCCTTATCCTCCTCCTCCTTCTCCTCCTTCTCCTCCGCGTGCCTCTACTCATCCTCTTCCTCGTGCCTCCACTCCTTTCCGCTCTCTCACTCTCTCTTCCTCCTCCCCCTCGTGCCTCTTCTCCCCCCTCCTCACTCCTCCTTCCTCCTCCTCTCCTCCTCCCCTACTGCTCCTTCCCCCTCCTCATACACCCTCCTCCGTCTCTTCCTCCTCCTCCTCCTCCTCCTCCTCCTCCTCCTCCTCCCTCCTCCTCCTCCTCCTCCTCCTCCTCCTCATCAGCATCATCATCATCATCATCATTATCATCATCATCCACCTTCTCTTCCTAGCTCCGGCAGGATCACGCCTCGCAGAACTTGGCAGACGTCGCCTTGCCGTCGATGACCTCCCCAGCACACTCGTTTTCCTGATGACGTCCCTGTCTTCCCTGCCTGACCTCTCCTGTCGCGCAGCAGAGCGGACCCCCCCTGGTATAGGCATGCCCAACTCATCGACGTGACCGCGCACAGGCGTGATACTGCAATCAAACAGCCGCGCCAGCTACCCATAACTCCGGCAAGCGATATCCTGCCCGCGCCCCCGGGATCTGTCCTTCTCATCCGGCTGCTCCTTTCCCTCCTGCTCTCGCAGCTGCAGCTGCTCCTGTTCCTCCTCTTCCTCCCCCCCTGCACTCTTCCCACGTCAGGATTGGTGCACTCCCATGGCCTGCGGGCAACGGCCTGTGACCTACACGGGGGGGAAATGAAACATCGAAAACAAAACAGCGCACCTGCGCGGGCGGCCCGGGAGGGGGAATGAGGTGGCGGGAACGGGGGAAGGGGGTTGGCCGTCGCGTCGTTCCTCAGCCTCTACCTTCTCCTCCGCACCCTCAGCTTTCTCTCCTCGACCTCCACCAGCCCCGCCGTTTCCCCCTCAATCTGGCCCCAATCCTCCTCCTCCTGCTCCTGCTCCTGCTCCTGCTCCTCCTCCTCCTCCTCCTCCTCCTCCTCCTCCTCCCCCTCCTCCTCCTCCTCCTCCTCTTCTTGCTGCTCCTCCTCCTCCTCCTCCTGCTCCTCCTCCTGCCCCTCCTGCTGCTCCTCCTCCTCCTCCTCCTCGTCCTCCTCGTCCTCCTCGTCCTCCTCCTCCTCCTCGTCCTCCTCCTCCTCCTCCTCCTCCTCCTCCTCCTCCTCCTCCTCCTCCTCTTCCTCCTCCCCCTCATGGCGGCGGACGCTCCGTCCTCCTGTCCCCAAGCGCCTCGGCTCAAGCCGGCCTCGGGGCGCCTCGGCGCCTCCTCTGTTCCTGAGCCTCCTCCCCCTCCTCTTTTGCCTCCTCTTCCTCGCCCGCGGTTTCCTCCTCAGCTCCCTCTCCCTTCGCGGCCTCTGCCTCTGCCTCTGCCTCCTCCTCCTCCTCCTCCTCCTCCTCCTCCCTTACCTCCTTCGCCACTTCCTCCGCCTCAACCTCCGTAGCGCGTCCCTGGCGGGGCCGCTGGTCGGCGCGCGGCCAGGATCTGCTCGGCCACCCTGGTCTGCAGGGCGGCTGAAAATTCCTCCCAGAGGGGAGCCGCATCCGCGCTGGCGCCTGCTTTGCCTTCCGCACGGTCAAACCGGTCAAGGACCAACTGCCGGGCAGCCTGGCGCACCCGGCCGCCAGCTTCGACCGCGAAGGACGTCAGGAGCGGAGTCGTGGGACCTGGCTGGTAGCGCAGGTGTTTTTCCCGCGCCGCGCCCCGGGCCGCTAAGCCAGCGTGGGCCGCCCTGCCCCGTTCCTCGCTGCGTGGCGTCGGTGCTCGACGTGCCACACGCCATGTTTCTGGCCATTTGACGTCCATCACCGCCACCTCCACCTTGTCCAAGCAAGTAGTCGGGTCGCGGCGCCGCCGCGTCCACTGCGGCACAGTCTGTTCCGTCCGCACCAAGCCGGGGACCCTCTTGGCCAGCCAGCGGGCGAGCAAGTCGCGGATCCAGTCGTGCCGCCGCTTGCGGGCGGGCCCAACCTCGCACGCTATGGCGTGATGCTGATCGAGCTCATGCCGGCAGCAGCGCGAAAGACCCCGCGCCAGGGCCGTCGCAAGACTGGATGCGGCCAAGCGCGCGGTCGTCCAGGCCGCCCTTCGCCCTCGCGTCGAGAACGCACACAACCGGCCCCAACAAGTCCTTGTGCCTGCTCCGCTCTCCCAGCGCCAGCGAGACCGGCAGGTAGCGCGCCGCGTTGCCCACCTTGGCGTTGTACGCTGCAACGGCGTTGGCGCAGTCCTGCGCGCCTGTGGCCTGCCTCCGGAAGAGTTCCTCTGCGTGCCCATGCCCAGGGCGAGCGCGACCTTCGGGGCCGCGGCGCACCACGAAGCCACGCGCGCAGCCTCCCTCTGGGGTTCGGCCGCGCCCGCAGCGCAGCGGCAGGCATGCATGAAGCCGCTCTATGTCCGTCTGGGCCTTGTCAAGCAGGCCGTCCCAAAGGCCCCAGGAGGTGATCGGGTAGGAACTGCGCAGTCCTTCGGGGCACGGCGCCAGGTCTCTTGAAGCCCGAGCCCTGCGGCCACGGCGTGGTGTTGGGTCTGGCAGAAAGCTCGTGGGGCCTGTCGCCTTGCCCATAGCGCAGTTGCCGCCTCCTGTGCCTGCCGCTAGCTCCTCCCAGTCGTCGTCCTGGCGACGCGTCAGGTTGCAGTCCAGCACGCAGAACTCGTCCACCACGTAGGTCCGCAGCGCCGGGGGGATTGATTGGGCGCTGCCCGGGGGGAGCCGCATCTTCGTCTCGGTCGCGTTCAGATGGGTCCCCCAAGCATTCAGCCAGCCAGAGGGGTCCTGGATGAACTGCTCGGCTTTTGCAGCGGGCACCACAGCGACGACGTCGTCGAGGTATGCCGTGACCAGCCAGCGCGGTGATCCCGCACGGTGCTGCAGCGTTGTCTGGTGGAGGGCCGCCGCGTAAGCTGCGGGGCTCAAAGGGCAACCCTGCGGCACCCCAGTCCCTTGTGCTGAACTCGTACATGTCACCCTCGCCGTCGCGCCACAGCCCCACCGCGGGCTTCGCATAAAGCCGGGCGAGCAGGCTGCCGTACTTGGGGAGGACCGCCACCAAGGAAGCGAGGACGGCCTGGCGGGAATCCGTGCAGAAAACGTTGGTGACATCGACGGCGACCAATATGCTCCCTGGTCGGTCGCAGATTGCGCCTAGCAGAGCCCAGAACTGGACGTCTGTGCCCCCTGGCGGACCAGCGGCCGGCTGCGTAGCATCCACGGTGCAAGCGACAAAACCCGTGAGGACAATAATTACGGCGGCAACGCGCGACGACAATAAGGGGCCGAACGCCGCCGGCGGGCCTGTGGAGCGCAGTAGCTGTTCCAGTGTTCAACCAGTCGTCTGGAGCGGACCTTCCTGAAGGCCCTGATGATGGCGTCTCTGAAGCCGTTTTTGATGTCGTCTGGGGGAAGTGCTGCGGTTGCATGCTGCTGCTCCTGGCTCCAAGTGTTCCGTTCTGGGAAGAGGGCTCGGAGCTTGTCGCGCGTGACGTTCCCCGTGGCCGCGCGGCCAAGGTGGCGCAGAGCGGCGACTGCACCCGCCACCTGCCCATCGTCCAGCATCGCGCGGGCGCGGCGCGCCCTGCGATCTATGCCATATGCTGCCAATCTCGCCGCCTGCTGGCGCCAGCCGAAGCTCCCGTCGCCGTGCCAAAGGCCTGCTGGATGCGTGCAGCCCGCTTGCCGTTGGCTCCGCGCCCGCCGCGGGCTCCCGTGGCGGCGAACATCACCATCTTCCACGCCCGTTCACGCTCTTACGGGCTGTTCCCATGCACGCTCTGCCGAAGCGCCGCGCCCATGGCCTCGGCCTAAGCAGACTGGAGGCTGAGCGGCAAGCGTCGCATGGTGTTAACCCTGAGGCTCAGGGAGTGCCGGACGTCCACGCTGTCCCGCCAGGTCATGTTGGACAGCCGGGAAGACGGGAGGCCATGAGGCCGCTGCGGCCGGGGGCTTGGGGGTCCGTCCGGACGGAAAGCCGCGGGCTCCTCGGTCGCACGCGTGCGATCCCCTGCACGGGTCACGCAGGGCTCCCGAGGAGGAAGACCTCCTCCCCGGGAGCCCCGCGTGACCCCTGCAGCCTGGCTGAACGCCGCCATCGTGTTTTGACACAGTGCCAGTTGCAAAACCGCGAACCGCCCTGAGTCTGGAGCCGGGCCTCGCCGATGGCGAACTTCGCTCTGCACCCGCTGCAAGGAGCGCGCCGTCCGCGGCCCTGCTGGGAGACAGCCCAGGTAGCTTCGGCCGCGGCCAGCCCAGCAATGCCCACGTGGTCTCCTCCTCCGTCCCCTCCTCCTGCACGCGTGCTGGGGCCTCGCCCGGGTGCCCCAGCGTCGCGTCGAAGCCTTCGGCCCGAGCGGCCGGGGCGGCAGCCGGGCTGTCCGGTGCAGCAGAGGCCGGGGCGCTGGGCCCCCACGGCGGGAGCCACGGCGAGGCTCGACCCGATGTGGGCCGACACCCGGCAAGGTGGCCAGCGCCGGCTCCAGCACCGGTGGGAATCCGCTCGTGCAGCCGCCGCCCGGCAGCCGGCAGCGCTGCCGACGACGGTGTCGCTTGCCGCCTGCAGCACCCCAGGGTGACTAGGACGCCATCGCTCGGACGTCCATGCCCTGTGTTTTTTTGGTTTCGTGCGTGGTTTTTTCGCCAAATGATAAAGGATGCTCCTCGATGGCCCTCGCCGAAGGAAAAATGCACACGTCCGAGCGATGCCAAGCCCAGGGCGAGCAGCCAGAGGGAGTCTCCGATCACGAGCGCGAAGCTCGGCAGCCCGTCGTCGTGCGATGCGCGCGTCGTGCCCGCGGGCCCCCAGACCCCAGCGAGAGGGAGGAGGAGGAGGAGGAGGAGGAGGAGGATGAGGAGGAGAAGAGGACGAGGAGGAGGAGGATGAGGAGGAGGAGGAGGAGGAGGAGGAGGAGGAGGTGGGGGGAGGGGGGGAGGAGGGAGGAGGAGGAGCAGGGAGGAGGATGAGGATGCCCTCGTCGGCGCGTGTGCCAGAAGGACCTCCGGGCCTTCGGCGCCACGGCCGCCCTGGGTGGCTCGTGCCGCACTGCCAGATGGGAGGCGCGATCAGCAGAGACGTGCCGTCGGCGCGCGCCGGGAGAGTGCGCGCGGAGAAGATGCTCTCGTCATACATACTTGGTGACCCTGGCGATCGCCGCACCCTCCTCCTGCTCCTCCTCCTCCTCCTCCTCCTGCTCGCTCTCCTCAGCCTTGTCTGTCTCCTCGTCCTCCTCGCCCTCACACTCCGAAGCCCTCTCCTCGGCCCGAAAGTCGACGCCGTCGCCGTCCTTCCAGACCCTGGCGGCCGCCTCAGCATCCTCTTCCTCCTCCTGCTGCTGCTGCTGCTCATCCTCATCAAAAACCTCAGCCTCCTCGTACGTCGTCTCGTCCTCCTCGACCTCATTCTCCGCGGCATCTGCCTCAGGGCCAGACGAGTCGCACAGCACCTTGTTACTGTCAATGTCGTAGTGCCGATTCCCACTCCGATGGGGGAAGGACCACAGCGACAACCAGGGGGAGAGTGAATGGGAAGAGGTCTGCTCCTCTTGCTCATCCCGCCTGCTCCTCCTGCTGGCCCCTCCTCCTCCTCCCTCCTCCTCCCTCCTCCTCCCTCCTCATCCTCCTCCTCCTCCTCCTCCTCCTCCTCCTCCTCCTCCTCTTCCTCCTCCTCCTCCTCCTCCTCCTCCTCCTCCTCCTCCTCCTCCTCCTCCTCCTCCTCCTCCTCCCCCTCCTCCCAGCGACGTGGTCGGTGCCGCCGAAGTTGTTCGGCTGCCCGCCGTTCATCGCCCGCTGCGCCTCCTCCGGCGTCGGGAACGTGCAGAACCCGAAGCCTCGGGACCTCGGGGCGCCGGCGCCACGCCTGGCCGTCCCTCGGCGGCGGGCCCGAGGGGGGAAGCGAGAAGTGCTCGCCATCGCTCGGACGTCCATTCCCTGTGTTTTTTTGGTTTCGTGCGTGGTTTTTTCGCCAAATGGCCAAGGATGCTCCTCGATGGCCCTCGCCGAAGGAAAAGATGCACACGTCCGAGCGATGCCAAGCAGTGGGAAGGGGCGGGCGGAAGGCCCGGAAGGCCTCCGGCTCTCCGAGGAGTTCCCGAAGCCTCCCGGGCTGCCCCCGGGGCCGCGGAGAAGTTCTCAGAGGGCGCGAGGGCTTCCGAGAAGCCCCGCCGCCTTCTGAGGAGGCCTGCCCCTCTTCCTTCCTCCCCTGGCTCGCAACCGATCCTCCTCCTCCTCCTCCTCCTCCTCCTCCTCCTCCTCCTACATGCTCCTCCCCCTCCTCCTCCCCCTCCTCCTCCTCCTCTTCCTCCTCCTCCTCCTCCTCCTCCTCCTCCTCCTCCTACTCCACCTCTTTTCTCCTTTTTGATGGGCAAGAAGACTGTGCAGGTGCACGGAGGAGTTTCTCTTTTTGGGGAGGTCTCGTTGTACTCCCAGGACGTACCCCCAGTGAAGTGTCGCAGCGGCCATGGTTCCAGTCACAGAGGGCGCAAAAACGCAGCAGTTGGGCGTCCAGAGTTTGGCCCCGAGGCACCCACTCCAGGGTACGTCTGTTCTGAAGTAGGTTTGACCTCCTCTGACATCTTCCTCCTCCTCCTCCTCCTCCTCCTCCTCCTCCTTCTCCCCTTCTCCTCACAATCCTCCTCCTCCTCCTCCTCCTCCTCAGCATCCTCGACGGGGCCTTTAGGTTGGGCTCTCCTGTTCCTCCTCCTCCTCCTCCTCCTCCTCTTCCGTCCTTGTCCTCGTCCTCGTCGCTGACGGCAAGGGTGACGATGAGGGCAGGGAGGGGAAGGGGGACGGGGGTCCCCAGAAGAGAGGGGAGGAAGGACGACGAGGGACACGAGACAGAGCAGGGGACGGGGAGCGGACGAGGAGGACGAAAACGAAATGGGTGGACACCGATATACCGATCCTTCTCTCCCGGGGTGCGTTCCGATCAGAATCTGAGCGTGGGGCCTGCCCGTGAACCTGTCCAGCATGACGATGCAGTCCGCCTGCCCGAACTGCGAGAAATCCGCCGCGGTGCCCCCCTGGCACGCTGAGGCGTGGTAGGATGTCCAGTGCTGCCTGGCAAGGTTTCGGGAGGTCTTCTAAGGGAGCCTCTCCTCTCTCTCGACGTGTCCACCTGCGTGCATCGCCCACCCCCCTCCCGAGCCTCCTTGGTAGCCTCCCTGGGCGCCCTGACCTCCCTCCCCAGCGCACCCAAAAGCTTGTCAAGGCTTCCACGACGGCTCAGAAAGGCCACTCAGGCCGCCAAGATGGCCGAGCCTTGCCTCAGGAAACACCCGACGGTTCCCATGAAGATCCCGATGGGCGCCAAAAGGGTCCCCCGGATGCCTCCAACACATCAGAGCGACAGGCCAGGCACCCCATTCAGGAATGCCAAAATCATTCCCTCACCACTTGTGAGTTCTTACTCCGGCTACCCGAAACAAGTCATTGGGTGTGCCAGGTGTTCGGCTGGCGTCGGGGATGGACAGACCCCCCTTTAGCAAAACGTGGTTTAGTGAAAACGACCTGAGGCCCAAACCTGGCGGGCGCAAGACTGGAAAATGACGGCCACGGCGCCCTCTCGAGAACCGAAAACGGACAATGCACTCATCGACGTGTCACTGTTGGGGGTTCTGTCCAGCCCCGATGGTGTCCGCTGGGCGGGCGCCCGTGGGCGCCTCGTGGGCGCCTCGCGCCGACGGGTGTGCCGAGGTTGCGCCATGGTGGCCGCCCACGTGCGCCGCCTCGTGGGTGCCTCTCGTGCTCTGGCTGGGTGCGTGGTCGCCCGCGGAGGCCTCGCGCGCTGGGCGGCTGCACGCGCACACAGATGCACACACGAACATACAGATATCTACAGAGAGGAAGGGAGAGAGAGAGAGAGAGAAAACACAATAAATCAAGAAATGAAGAAAGAGAGAGAGAGAGAGAGAGAGAAGGAAATAGCTTCCTATAGGTTTACAAGCCCTCCCCCCAAAACGTACCCCCTGGCGAAGGACCCAACCATATGCAGTTGTGAATACAGTCGCTGCGGGTATCGCCTTCGGGGGATCCCCTCATGAGGCCATGCAGCATGCGAGGGGTGTGCTGATGTGGGGCGGGGCCGCTATGTAGGCGCGGCCACTGCTGCTTTAAGCGGAACGCACCATGAGGCCGCGAAACGTGTGAGGGGTTCGCCGTGCGCCGCAATGGGGCGGGGCATCTACTGGGACCTTCGGTGGAGCTCCCTATGGGGCAACGAAGCGAGCGCTGTACTGGGTGGGGGAAACGCATGCGAGCAGCCGCTGGGACCTTCGGTGGAGCTCCCTATGGGGCCACGGAATGTTGCATTCGGTTGGGAACCGCATGCGAGAGCAGCCCCATGGGGCCTTCGGTGGAGCTCCTTATGGGGCCACGAAGCTCTGTACTGATGGAACTGCCTATGGGGACACTCAACTAACTGTGTACTGTGCGGGGATGCCGCATGCGAGACTAGCCACACTATGGGGCCACGAAACGCTGTACAGGGTATGGGAACTGCATGCGGACACAGCCACTGGGGCCTTCGGTGGAGCTCCCGATGGGGCAGCGAAGCGCTGTACTGGGTGGGGGAACCGCATGCGAGAGCAGCCGCTGGGGCCTTCGGTGGAGCTCTCAATGGTGCCACGAAGCGCTGTACTGGGTGGGGAACGCATGCGAGATCAGCCAGTTCCTATGGGGCCACGGAGCACTGTACAGGTGGAGGTCCTCACGGGGGCACTAAACGGTGTATTGGGTGAGGAAAGCGCATGCGAGAGCAACCAGTGGGGCCAGCGATGGAGTTCCTTATGGGGCCACGAAAGCGCTGTACTGGGCTGGGGGTCCGCATGCGGACGCAACCACTGCGGCCTTCGGTCGAGCTCCCGATGAGACCACGAAGCGCTGTACCGGGCTGGGGAACCGCAAGCGAGAGCAGCCACTGGGACCTGCGCTGGAGCTCCTTCTGGGGCCACGAAACGCTATACTGGGTGGAAACTGCATGTGAGTGCAGCCACCGTGGCCTTCGGTGGAGCTCCCTAGGGGGCACGAAGCGGTGTACTTGGTGGAGGAACCGTCTGCGAAAGCAGCCACTGGGGCCTTCGGTGGGGCTCCCTATGGGGCAACGAAGCGCTGTACTGTGTGGGGGAAACGCATGCGAGAGCAGCCACTGGGGCCGTCCGTGGAGCTCCTTATGAAGCCACGAAGCGGTGTACTGGGTGGGGGGTGGGGGAACCGCATGCGACAACAGCCGCTAGCGCCTTCCGTGGAACTCACGATGAAGCAACGAAGCGCTGTACTGGGTGGGGGAAACGCATGCGAATACAACCAATGGGGCCTTCGGTGGAGCTTCCTACGTGGCCATAGAACGGTACACTGAGTGGGTGAAACGCATGCGAAAACAACCACTGGGGCCTTCCGTTGAGCTCCCTATGGGGCCACGAAGCGCTGTACTGGGTGGGCCCTCTGGTGGAGCTCACTATGGGCGCACGAAGCGCTGTACTGGGCCGGGGAACCGCATGCGAGAGCAGAAACTGGGGCCTGCGGTGGAGCTCCCTCTAGGGCCACGACTTGCTGTCCTTGGTCGGGGAACCGCATGCGAGGGGGCGGGGGAACCGCCTGCGAGAGCAGCCACTGGGGCCTTCGGTAGAGCTCCCGATGAGACCACGGCGCGCTGTACTTGGGCGGGGGAACCGCATGCGAGAGCAGTCACTGGGGCCTGCGGTGGAGCTGCCTCTGGCCTCTGGGGCCACGATACGCTGTACTGGGCGAGGGAACCGCATTGGAGAGCAGCTAGTGGGGCCGTCGGTGGGGCTCCCTATGAAGTCACGAAGCGCTGTAATGGGGAACCGCAGGCGAAAGCAGCCACTGGGGCCTTCGGTGGAGCTCCCTATGTGGCCACGAAACGTGTGAGGTGTGTGTGTGTGGCAAAGTGAGGGAGGGGGGGGAGGAGGAGGAGGAGGAGGAGGAGGAGGAGGAGGAGGAGGAGGAGGAGGAGGAGGAGGAGGAGGAGGAGGAGGAGAAGGAGGAGAGGAGAAGGAGACGCGGGGCGCTCTCTCTTCAAAACGAAGACACAACAACACAAACTGATTGGGAAGAACTGGACCCCTGGATCCGTGGCCCCAAGAGCCCCCTTGACGCCTTTGCAGGAGGCCCCCAAACCTTTAAGAAGCTCCTGGAAGCCCCTGCTGGCCCTAAACAACGGGACAAAGGTGCACAACTTCGCGCCGTGCACCTTTGCCCTGAAAGTTCGGCATGCAAACGGATGGGCAACAACAAAAAACTGATCGCCGACATTGCCGTTATAAAAATGTCATTGGTTTTCCGTCTTTCATGTTTCCTCTTCCTCTTCCCCCTTCTCGCCCTACCCTGCGAATTCTTCCTCATCCTCTTCAGCTCTTTTTGCGGACTCTCTTCCTTGGAGAGCCTTTGTGGGGCCTCACGAAAAGTGTTCACGGGCTTCTTGGGGCCTTCTGGAGGCCTGCTGGGTGCTTTCTGGGTGCCTCTGGGGATTTCCTCGGGCCATCCTGCTTCCAACTGCGGTCTCCATGAGCGACCAAATTGCGATTTGGGATGATTCGGGAGGCGTCTTGGAGCCATCTTGGGCCGTCACGGGGCTCTCTTCGGGCCATCTTGGGGCCCAACTGGGCCGTCTAAGGTTTTTCTGGACTGCTAGGAAGCCCTTTCCGATAATTTTGGAGCGAATTTCGGGCCCCCTGGGCGGTCTCGGACGCCCGGGAAACTGAAGAACTGAGCATTCTCGACATCATACACAGGCCATTGAAATTACCGTTTTTCTGCGTTTCGGGAGCCTCTTGAGGTCTTCTTTGGGTCGTCTTCGGGCGGCTGCTGGGCGTCTGGGGCCTCTTAGGGCCCTCGGGGGTCCGTTCGGCTGCCCTCCGGAACGATTTGGGCCGTTGCCTTGGCCCAGCAAGGGGCCCCCAAGAGCTCCGGAAAGCCTGGGGGACCCTCTGGCCATCGCTCGGACGTCCATTCCCTGTGTTTTTTTCCGGTTTCGTGCGTGGTTTTTCGCCAAATGATCAAGGATGCTCCTCGATGGCCCTCGCCGAAGGAAAAATGCACACGTCCGAGCGATGCCAAACCCTTGCAGGGGCGTCCATGGGTGCCCCCGGAGCCACGGATCTGGGGGTGGGTTTCTGGAGGGGTGTCACCCCCGTCCGACGGGCTGTTTGTATGAGTACAACAAGGCATGTTTGGATCGATCCCCGAGCGATTGGAACGATATGGACCATCAATTTACTCATTCTGCATGCTCGTCGTCGTTATTTTTCATATTCCCATTTTTTGTTCTCTCCCGAAGTCTTTCTGTAACGCCTTTACAAAAAAAGATTCCATTTCATGGCGACCTTACGTAAGGCTCTTAATTGTGAAGGATCTACCGTGTCCTCTACACTCAGAATCCTTTCGTAGCGGCCTGTGCGAAGGGATTCCTTTTATGGCGGCCTTGCGAAAGGGTTTCAATTATGGGGGATCTGCAGTGGCGGCACCTTCAGCCCAGGAAGGCTAGGAGAGGAAAGCAGGACAAGCAGGAAAACATGAAGACGTTTGTCCCCTGGGGAAAAAAAACAAGAAAACGCGAAGAAAACCTGTGATTGTTCCCTACCTAGACTCTGCCTAGAAAGGTTATTACTTTCTTAGCTTGAAGGGGCCGGGCAGTGGAAACCGACCCGGGCGGTTCCCCCAATCCCCTGGGAGCCAAGCAAAAGCAACAGCAAAGGTAAAAGCAAACGCGCGGTTCCCCCAGTTGCGCTGCTTGGTTGCCAAGCAAAAGCAAAAGCAAAGGCAAAAGTGAAGGCAAAAGCGAAGGCAAAGCAAAAGCAAACGCATTGCATAGCATAGCATAGCGCAGCATAGCATAACGCAGCATAGCATAGCATAGCATAGCCTAGCCCAACATAGCACTGCGCAGCATAGCATAGCATAGCATAGCATAGCATAGCATAGCATAGCTGAGCATAGCGCAGCACAGCCTCCACTATTGCCCCAACCTCATCTCCGTGCCTGCTTGCTTTTGCTGCTGTCTCGG